CTTCATCCACAAGGCCACCAATACCCCATCAGTTTGCATCTGCTGATCTGCAGCTGATCATAGAGTGGGCCACAGAGTAAGGGTCAGACTCAAAGTCACCTTGGAAAACACAGTGAACTAGAAAACTGAATGAAAAACTGGAAACACATCAGACCCAGAAAAATGAATTGGAAAATTAGGAGTTATTCTCAGCCATGTGGGATGTGGATGAGCAAGCCCCATTGACACTGACTGCTTAGGGACTACTGCTCACATATACACACACTACAGCCACCTTTATGATGATCACACACAGGCTCACTCTTTAGGGTTCCAGGGCAGGGTGTAGTTGACAGGTGCTTCACTGCTGTCTGTCTATACTTTAACTCTTCTTTCTTTAACGAGATAATGGTCCCAGCTTGAAAACTAACATGATGGTGCTGAACGCCATTAGCTCTGCACACTTCTACTGGGTCACCTTTTTATGCTCTTTATTCTAAACTCTCTTTATTCTTTAATTCAATACATATTTGTTGATATATATTCATCATACATACTTCGTTTCATCAAGACACTTTTTTCAATGCATCATGTACTGTGTCCACAAGTACCTCTCTCATCTCATGTTCTATCCCTCTGTTCCAATCTCCCTCCTTCCTCTTATCCTCCCCCCTCTCTCTCTAAATATTTAGGTGTTCATATCAAGTTCTAGGACTCACAAATAAGAGCAAATGTGCTATTTTTGTGTCACTGTCTGGATTCCATGACCTGGTTTGTTGTGACTAGTGCAGCAGGAACAGGAATGTGAAGTCTCTGTGACACAGTGACATGGTACTCTGGGCATGTCCCTAGGAACAATATAGCTGGATCATACAGGACTTCTTAAACCCTGAAGAGCATCTTCCCAGCCCTCTTGCAGCTTCCTTCCCTTGCAGCTCTGTATTAGAATCAGCACAGTCATTCTCTCTTAAGGGTGCAACTGGTGAGTGGCCAGCAAACACGTCCAGGCTCTTCCTAAATCAAGTGTTGACCTCCTCCATATCACCATTGTTGTCATCATCTTCTACCACCAGAGCCTTCTTTTCTCTCTTCTTAGGTGATATTTGTTCTTGGTTTCAGTTTTATGCAGTAAACTAAGATTTGCTAGTATAAGATTAACAGGTTAAACAAGAAAAACTACCCATGAGTAACAAGAATTAGCAGAGATAGGTGTGCTAGGGTGGGATGGGATGAACATGGGCAGCTGTGCGCCTTGATTCTAATGGAGGAGTGGAGACAGCTTCTCAGAAGGGGTGTGCTTGGGAAAGAAATGACCTGAGTGCACTAAGGCCTGTAGATGACCATAGTACATTTGTCTGAGATTCCATTATCATGGCAGACAGGGAGACACTGTCATGGACTGATGCTTCTCCTGGGAAACAGGACTGCAGGGGTTCAACTTAATTTTTCTGGTAGACCACAGCCTAGTACTTCTTGTCACTGGAATCCTCAATGTTTCAGATTGGCCTGAACTCAGCGAACATTCCCAAGGACTTGCAGTGATCTGACCTGAAGAGCCCAGAACTTGGCAAACAGAAGCAGCCCAGCTGGAGGCCCTGAGGATTCAGGTGGAACTACAGTAGATTGGGAATGAGAAGTATTACGAGTAGTGTGCCCAACCCCCCCCCCCCCCCCCCCCCCGCCGCCTAGGCCCACTGCCACACCAGCCCCAAATAACACACAGAGACTCTGTATTAGATATAATGCTGTGGGCCAGGTATTAATTTCTTATTGGCTATCTCTGTCTTAATTATTAACCCATTTCTATTAATCTAAGTATTTCTACTTGGTCTCATCTCACCCGGGAGTGGGGTTGGTGTCTTCTCTCCCCAGTCTCTCGATGTTGACTCCTCCCTACTACTTCCTTGAATTCTCCTTGTCTCCTAGTCCCGCCTATCTTGCTTTCCTATTGGCCAACAGTGCTTTATTCATTACCAGTATGAGAAACATATATACAGAATGACATCTCCTATCAGAGAAGGAAAAATATACTCCATTAATAAGCCCTCTCTTCAGAGCTAGCTATTCTTGGAAATATGCTCCAAATGTCATGATATAAAAGTATCATGATTTTATACCCTAAATCTTACAGATGAGGAAAAAAGAAACAAATACAGAAATGGCAAACTAATTGTCTTGTGTTGTTCTGTTGTTCAGTTCTTGGGAGTTTATAATGCCCAATAATATCTTAAGTTTACATTTATTTTACTATCTTTTTAAAATTATTTTTAATTTTTAATTTTATATATATGCATGTTTTGCCTACATGTATATGTGTACCACATTTGTGTAGCACATGCAGAAGCAAGAAGAGGGTGTTAGACTCCCTGGAACTGGAGTTACAGGTGGATTTGAGCCACCATGTGGGTGCTGGGAATTGAACCAGGGTCCTCTAGAAGAGCAGCCAATGCTCTTAACTGCCTAGCCCATTAATGTCTTTTTCTAAGTGTGAAAATCATGAAAGAAACAATTGAATGTAGAGTTGGGCAAGTCCTCTGAATGAATTGTAGTCCATTGCTCTGTTTACAGTTAAGGATAAAATCCAACTATGATGGGAGGGGCCACAGGTAACTATTAGATAATTAGAGTATCTGTGTTAGATAATCAGCCAGCCAGTTTTGACTCAGCAACTAACCTTTCTACTATATGTACTTTAGGCTCTTAAAAATGCAGGTGTATATTCTCACCATACCATTTATATTTTACTGCTTATGTATTTGTGCCTTGTCTTTTCTGCTGAATGTATTTTGAGGATTTTTCCCAGATCACATAGGAATGCGTAGCTAATCAGTTTCACTGATGCATGGATACTGTGGAGTGTTCTTATACAAGCTAGGGCAGTGATACTATCATTGGGTGATATGATTTTTCTTTTTAGTGCTGGATGTTAAAATGCATAGGAGGCAAGTGCATTACTGCTGAACTACATCCCCAGCCCTAAGGGAGATGGTGGGACCATCAAGACACACGCAGTCCATCATTCACCAAAACACCACAAGGTGTTTGTTATTCATTGTGGCCTAATGTTCACAGTTTACCTTAATGGCTACATGATACTACCCTACATGATACATGGACAAGACGTGATTAATTTGGCCTATTTCCTGTTTTTGACATTTTCATCATTGAATTTTTATTGTTATCTGGAGATAAGAAACATTTGCCTACAAAACTGTGGGGATCTGGGGTCACATCCTATGGGAAGAGTACAGGTTTGATCAAAGTAGATGAGAATCGAGGGCTTCTGGTAGGTTACACTAGGTTCACGTGATCTGTTTTTGAAGGCTAGTAACTTGAGACTGACTGTCAGTTATTCCAGTTAATTCGGGATTCAGATTTTCTCTGGAGTCAGCATCTATGAAGGACTAAAAATTGTGATAGAGGTTTAGTTTGAGGAACCAAGCTGTGGCCTTCTCGGTGAGTCAGAGGAAAAATGGGTGACAGATAGCAAAGAAAAAAATCCAGAAATGTTCCTGCAGAGGTCACTATTGCCGTCAGTTTATGCCTGGATGGAAACTAAAATACTAGAGTATTTTAAAGCCTGATTAACCTGCACTTCTTAAATTGTAAAAAAGACTTTGCAGCCAGATAGCATTAGCTGCCAAGTTCTTATATAATGACCACTCCTGATTCAATTGCTCTTTACAGAGGAAGCGTTTTGGATTCCTTCAGTGTACACACGTCCTATGTGGACTTCAATAGAAGGAAAAGAAGATTCTTTGCTGTCGTCTGCAGGATCCCTTTTGCTCTCGCTTTGCACCTTAAAATCTGCACAGACAAAATCAGCGAGGGTAACTTGCTTTGTGTCTTTCCTTTTGAGTTGTCGTGGGAGCGTTCAGATTTTACTGCGGCGTTCCAGGAGTTGTCCTAAGGCGGCAGTGTGGCCGCAGGGCTGAGCAGAGAATTGCCAGGTGTGTCTGGAAGGTGCCAACTCTTTCTACAAAGCAAGAGTCTTTTCCATCACCAAATGCAAAGCAGTCAGAAGTCTTTCCACCCTCACCCCGGCCCCACCCCCCATCCGGTGATGCCGGGAGGTAGGACCGGCTGGGAGGCATTAACTCGCTCTCTGCTCTTTTACTGGCCCCCAGAGGCGGTCCTAGTAGAGTCACCCAGCCCGTCTGCACTAGACAAGCAAGCTTCGAGCTGAACCAGGGCTTTCTTCAAGCCCAGGTTGGGCTGGGACATCAGGGAAGCGGAGGGAGCCGGTCTAGGAACCCCAAGAGTGAGCTGTGGAGAGGCTGGTGGGCAAGGCTCAGCCTCAGATAGGAAGAGAAGCCAGAGCCCAGCTGCTAGTACGCAGTGTGTGTCCTGCTGCAGACTCCTGGCTCTGGTCTGCTAATGCGCTGCCTCCCACCCCTGGCACTGAGGCTGGGAGTTAGCGAAACTCCCTCACCTGTCGGAACCCGGATCTGGCCGCGGGAAGGGCCTGGCAGCCAGCGCCTGCTGGTTACAGCAAGCTTGGCAAGTGGCCCTGCCTGCACTAGGGCGCCATCGCCAAAGAGGCAGGTGTGAGGCTGCTGCTCTGCGCCCTAGCCTCCTCTTCGTTCCTTTTGCCCCCCCCCCCCCCGCACCATCGGCTTGGGGTAGGCCTAGGGGCAGTTCCCAAAGACTCCAGGGCTATAGGTTTGAGACGCACCGCCTCACCCTACCACTTAGAGCCATCAGTGTTGGAGGAACCTTCATTCGACCAGAGTCTACAGTAACTGCAGAGGTTTTCGAAACTTTGCAGGCAGAGGCTAGCTGGTCTGTTGTCTGCAAGCCACGCCACGCCTGCTGGTAACCTGTGACACTCCCAGACCTGGAGAAACTACTCTCCGAAGGGCACCGACGCCCCAACTTTTGATTTGCGGTCTGCGCTGCCTACTTGGCTGCCCAGCCACAGTCCCCCCGGGGCGCGCATCTTCTGCAAACAGCGCAGCTCACACAGTCCAGCTCGCTCTTCTCTCCCGGACCGCAGGAGCGCTCTGGCGGAACTGCCTTCAAGAAAGGTTAAAAGCCCAGGAGCTTCGGCCCTCGGGCCTCTTACTTCAAACCATAGTCGGTGCAGGTGTTTTCCTCTGCAAACCCTGTGCCTGGCGCGGATAATCCGCGCGGTCCGGCGGTAAACGCGGAGTCCCTGTGGTCCCGTCGGAGTAGCAAACCATGGCGGGCTGCTGCTGTCTGTCTGCGGAGGAGAAAGAGTCGCAGCGCATCAGCGCGGAGATCGAAAGGCAGCTTCGCCGCGACAAGAAGGACGCGCGCCGTGAGCTCAAGCTGCTGTTGCTGGGTGAGTGGCTGCGTTTTTCCGGCGGGCAGCTCCGATGTTCGTGTCCTGGCTCCTTCCAGTCCTGTTGAGCAAGGCTGGTGGCGTGCTGTCATTTTCTCCCATCCCTCTGTGGCTCACAGGTGCTGCCACCTCCGGGCTGGGTGACTTTCGATACCCCAACCTGGACTCCCAACATCTCCAAGCAGGGCTGGGCCTCAACCCTTGGGCTCTTGTCTCCCCTCCCCCCTTATCCCTTCCCCTGCACAGTCCCCCTCACCCTCGGGCTCCCAGCACCGGCGGTGGCTACAGAACCCCAACCTGGGTCTTGGGGAACTGCCTGACACACAGTTTAGATTCTGCTCTCCTTGGGTTCTGACTGGAGCCCAGTTTTTACCTGCTAGGTAAGGTCATGTGGGAAGGCGCTGTCCTCACAGTAGGAACTGACAAAGGAAACTCTAAAAATGGACAAACTTGAGAAAAGGGAAAACTGAGCCATGGAAGTGAAGCCCCTACTGCTATTCTTTCTGTCTTGGGAAGCCAATGCCTGCTTCCTGTGACCTCCCAGAGCCCACAGGGACAGAGCAGGCTTAACCCTCCCTTGGCCCACCCTTGTTCAACTTCACTGGCCCAGCCACCGCTATTATTGCCTCTGCCAGCTTTTAGAAGGTTTCTGTAGAAGAGTTTCAAACCCAAAAGTAAAGAGTTCAAGAGGCGACTCATTTCCTTCAGTCCATCCACTGGTCAATACTGGCTCCCCCCTCCCCCGTTCCTCCCTAAATAGCTGCAAGTATTTCAACTTGTTTCCTCCATCTCCTACTGTGTTTAATTATCTTCAGGTAGTTACATTTCAAGAACAACAAAGGAAAGACAGATTACTTGGAGAGGCCTGTTAGTTGGTTCTGCCTTCACACCTGGGCAAGGATGCCCTCTACTATGTAACTCCTACTCCTGGTTTTAAAGACCGTTCTTGGTCTGTACTCCTGGGTTTAAAGGGCCTCACCTGTTTTTTTTTTTTTTTCCCCAGACCCTTAAGTGCAAAGGCAGATTCCACACACCTGCCTCTCCTTTAAGGCCAGAGGAAATTCCCTGCCCAAAGAACTCCTTCCTAGCTGTTAGGGTCTTCACCAGGGAGGAGCAGAGATGCCCAGGAGAGAGATGCCCAAAGGGAGGCTGTTTGCTGAGGCTAGGAAGAAGCTTGAGCCTGGTCTGGGGTCCACAGGCATACTAAGAGGTTCCTAAGGGGGTCAGATTATGGGGTGTGGGTGAGAAGGGATTCTGAACATCCCCTAGGTCAGAGCTGCTCATCCAGAATTGGGCTGAGCCTGGGAACTCTAGCTGAACCTTGCAGGCTGTCATCAAGCTTGGTTTGTCAAGTGGAGTATTGTGTCACAGTTTGTAGTTTGATTAATACTAAGGTAATTAATTATGCCTTCCTTTGACTTTAGATGCATATTTTTCTTGTCAAGTGGAGACTAAACTCTAGTTCACTTTGAAATATTTAGATTTGTGTCAATGTGTGAAGTACTGTTAGGACTATACCAAGAGCTGGGCATATGCTGGCTTCTTGTAAGGCAAATTATTCTGTTAGCTGAGCCATAATGTATTGATAAGAGGGTTATTTGACACACTGAGACACACAAAGTAGAGAAGGAATGCTTAAGGGTATGCCATTTGCCTTAAAAGTCCCATTTAATCCACATAACAACCCTGTCCTAGCCCTTCTGCTTCCCCTGACCCCTTCTCTCAATCATTATGGTGACAAACTTCCTGCTCAAGGTATAGCTCCAAATCTCATGGAACTACCAGAGCCTTAAGGATGGGCTTAAAAACCCAAGTTCTTTCTGTCTTTGGGGGTTATGCCATAGTCCAAGTCTTGAGCTACAGGAACTGGCTAAGTCAAAAGATTTGGCAGTCAGGGAAGGGTATGTATGTGCTATTCTGTCTGGAACCATGCGGAGTGGAAACTTCACCAGAGTTTTTCTACAGTGGCTGGGTTAGATCATTCACTGGCCATGTGTCTCAGACATAAAAGCCCCACTTCATATATGGGACTTTGGGATCCTGTGTGGAGTATGTTCCAAGAAGCCATAGGCTCTCATAATGATGAATATGTCTGCAGTGTGTGGGGTGAGGGTGTTTCTGAAGTGTGCTGTAGAGGTCAGAGTGCCGACTGGACTTAGTAAAAGTCTAAGTCACTGTACAGTACTGTGGGACACAAGTTGTCTGGTTACAGCAAATTAGTGGTTACAAGATGTTGGTGGAATGCTTTCTCAACAGGAAGACATGAAGAAGACAATAAAGGATACAGTTGAATTTAGAAGAAGAAGGTCCTTCTAATTGGGCAAGATTGAACAAAAACAAATAGTTCTAATAACATTGGTGGAAAAGTAATGGGATTATGTGTTCTGTACACCAGTGGGGAGGTATAGCTTGGACATGTGCCTCTGAGCCATGTGCCTGGGAACTTACCATTCTGCAGGCCTCTGTGGCTGGAATGGGAAAGGAATAGACATTCCTCCATACTGACATCCTTGCCAGACCACAGATGAAGCCTCCCAGTGCCTTGATGCAGAGGCTGGGGCTGGACCAAAGGAGTGTGGTTCAGACACACAGATGCTCAGCCAAAGGCCATTTTGCCTAAGGAAACCAAGACTTCATGAGAGCTGTGGCTGCAGACAGGGTGACCCATCAGCCCAGGTCAGTAGAGCTCAATAAACTCAGCCCAGAGATAGCAGCAACAGCTACTTGAGAAAGAAAGGACCCACTACACAGATAGCTCCCTGCTGCTCCATCCACTGCCTCTGGAATGCAGCCACCAGCAATGGCCAGGACAGTGTGTGCTGTGAGCTCCAGGGGGGTGCGCTTGTGGGTAGGGATGCAGCAGCCTTGACTCCAGTCCTGAGGCTGGGTGGTACCTTTGCTAGTCTTGAGGCTTTAAACCTAGAGGAAGAGGAGAGCCACTGGTAGGAACAAATACGCGCTTTATGCACTGTGGCCTCTGTGGCCTCTGTGGCCTGGCATCCTTCTGTGACTTCACTTCCCAATCAGAGTCACTACTGGTTTTCTTACTTTGCTGCAAGATGTGCCCCTAGCCTGGACCCTGAGCTGGGCAGAGCTGGGGCGGTTTGCTAATTAAAAATCCTCAGAGTGAAACTTGGGTGCTGTCAAGGTACTCCAGCCTGGAGACCTCAACACCCCTTCCTACCTACCTCTGTTTGGGATCCTGTCCCAGCAGAATACCCAGGCTATCCCCATCATCGTTGCTTCAGCAGCCCTGTGAGAATTGTCCCCAGCTGGGAGCCACTCTGCTGCCCTGGGTCATCAAGGTACCAAGGAGCTTGAGAAGCCTCCATTTGTCCCGCTTCCTTTACCGCTTGCTTCTCACACCATCTGCCTTCAGCACTGTCTTGTGGCTCTGGCTTGCTCTATGCTCAGGCTGTTTACTGCCATACACCCACTCTTATGATCCTGCGAAATGGCCCTAACTGGAGACAGAACAGATCTGGCCCAGTAGCATCCTGGTGGAATGGCAATATAGACTCATGTTAAATATTAGCTGTGTTGACTGAGCTTGTTCTCAGGATGTGAAATGTGAAGACAGCACTCCTAGGCCCTACCACTCACGATGACCCATATTCCACTTTATATCCGGGATATGCTTATGTGACTATTCGGTACCCAGTATGGTTCCTCAGCCTCCTATAGGGTGAGCCACATGTTCAGACCCCATCCTCACAGGCCACTCTTGGAGAGAGTGCTGGTGGTAATGGCTGAAGCAGTGGCCTGGGAAGATAAGATGAGGTCAACAGCCATAGTGTAGATCTTAGGGTACTTGGTGAATGGAAATGGGTAATTGTGACTACAGAGGCCTGGACACAGATCCCAAGTCCCATTTATCACAGGCAATCTTGGCTGTCAAGTGAGACACCAGGGCTGCCCTACTGAGTAGAGATGTTTGCCGTGCAGTGAGGGTTGATAAAAAGCTTGTCAGTTGAGCCTCAGCCTAGCATGGCCTGGGGGTAGCTTACAGGGCTTCCCATTGCCATGTTCTTCTGTGTGCCAAGGTGACTGATCTTCAGGTGACTACAGTCTGATAATGGCCTGTGGCCACCTTCTAATATTCTCCTCCTGGGGAACTGAGGTCCTCCCTTCAGGTTCTTACTTTGGAGAACAGCCCAAAGGCCAGTCTCCTGCTTCCTGAGAGCTGGGACTGAAGCCTAGGGCTATGGGATAGTTGCAGCATTCCAGGAACAGCAAAGGACACATAAGCAGACTGAGTAAGTATTTCTAAGACTTCTTGCAATCATTGCAAGAATGTGTCCTGAGAAATGAATATACATGCAAGGGTGGAACAGTACTCAGCAGCTGACTAGTATCAGCAGCCTTGGTCCCAGAGTGCCCATCTCTGACTGGCACCAATAGCCTTAGTCCCAGAGTGCCCATCTCTGGCTGGTACCAGTAGCCTTAGTCCCAGAGTGCCCATCTCTGACTGGCACCAATAGCCTTAGTCCCAGAGTGCCCATCTCTGGCTGGTACCAGTAGCCTTAGTCCCAGAGTGCCCATCTCTGGCTGGTACCAGTAGCCTTGGTCCCAGAGTGCCCATCTCTGACTGGCACCAGTAGCCTTAGTCTCAGAGTGCCCATCTCTGACTGGGAACATGCTGAGTATCTGGCTGGTCACCACGGATCCAGCAGAAATCAGGGTTCCCCTCTTTAAGAATGGACTCAAAGCCAGGTGTGACACATGTCTTTAATCCCAGCACTCAGGAGTCAGTGTCAGGCAGATCTCTGAGTTTGAGGAGAGTTCCAGGACAGCCAGGGCTACACAGAGAAACCCTGTCTCAGGAGAAAAAAAAAAAAACCTCAAACAAGCTCAAGGATGAGTTTATTTAGTTTAAAGGCGAGAAAGAGGGAGGGGAAGAGAAGGAGGGGGAAAATGGGAGCAAAGGGGAAGGGAGGGGAGGGCAGGGAAGGTGGGGGGAGGAAAAACCAGGGTAGACAAAATGTGAAACCTTGGCAGCT